TGACAGACAGTTTGTTATCTACTGTTACTGAAATATACAGTGGGAAAGCGAAGCTTAAATGAACTGCAAGTAAAACATACCTCGGTCGGGGTAATGGTGTCGAAGTATCGGCGGAAAAAGCCGAAAGTCTCTCGCGGCCGCCGGGTACATCTCCCGTCGAAGCGCCGTGAGAAGGGGACAACCAGAGGGGTCTTCGCGACAGGTACGGGGGCAAGCCTAGGAAAGTAGGCGTAAACCCACAATTGAAAAACAGATGTCAGTATGACTATCGGATAAAGCAGAATATACAGAATAAAGCAGAAAAGGCAGAGCCGTGTGTTGTGCAGTGTATTGTGTGCAGTGTACAGTGTGAGCAGTGTGCAGTCGGTGTAAAGTAGAATGTATGTGTGTGCCGTGTGTACAGTATACAGCACGTATGAAACAGACTACAGTGTGTGCAGTGTACAGAGTACAGAAAGCATAGGGCAGAAATGAAAAGCAGAGAAGAAATGTACCTCCCAAGCCCGCCAGTAGCCTCCGAGTAGCTGGCCGCTGCCGCGAGAAGCCGAGCTCATGTATCCATAAAGGGTGGCCAGAGCGGCGCCACCCCAATCATAGTGCAGAATGTCCCGGACGTCCACCAGTGCACTGAGAAGGCAAAGAGGCACAGTGTTCGCCCGATCGGCAAAGATGGTAGTCCCAAACAGGAACATGAGGAAGCCGTGGGCGTACCTCTCCACGTCCTCCTGAGTCATCTCCGCCTCCTCCTCCAACGTGGGCTGAACCCAAAACTGGACCTCGAACCAGGAGTATCGGACTAAACCTGGACGAGCAAGAGGTGGGGCCTCCCCCAGTATATGGACATGAGCGGCGGTCCACTCATCCATGTCGATGTCAAAGGGGATCGGATCACCCCCTACCCCGATGCCGGTGAGCATCGAGAAATCATAAGGGGTCATCGTCATGTCCCCGGCTGTGGAAAAGTGAAAAGAATCCGTGGTGTCCCACCACATCTCCGCCAGAGCGGCAAGGAGAGGTCTGCAGGTAGAAAGTTGGGAGAGTCCTCGGCAGAAGGCGCCGAAACCCGCTCGATCCACGATACGACGAACTGCGTTAGGGAGCTCGCCGTACCACTCCCGAGCGCCAGTATTCCCATACCCGCGAATGGTATGGGAATCCTCCTGTAAACAGAAAATGACAATTGCAAGACAACATTCAAAATGCAGTTTTGAGAAGCAGAACAGATATGGCATGCGTGCAAGTTTAACAGATTTTGAACAAATACCGGGGTGCCGGTGTGCGTACAGTGAACTACAGTGTATGATGCGTCAACATGTTTGGGGTAGTTCAGAACAGATATAGCATGTGTGCAAATTTAACAGATTCAGACAAGTACCGGGTACCGGTGTGTTTGCAGTGAAATACAGTGTACGCCGTGTGTTTGAGTGATCCGGGGTTAGTGCAGTGTGTGTGCATGTGCCAGTCTCAACAGATATTAGTTGTATGTTTGTTTACAGTCTACAGCATATCAGTTTTCAGCAGTTAAAGAATACAACTAGCTATGACAGTTTTTGTATCCTACATTGCGGAAAGTAAAACAGAAGAAAGAAAGTTACCTCGGAAGCGCCAAAGGAAAGGTGGGAGGTAGGCTCGCGCAGTAGTAGCTCAGGCGCCACGTGCCTCTCGAAGCTCCGGAACTGACGCAGGCCGTCGGGGGGCAGAACATGGACCGCCGGTCGGTAGGTCGCCGGGTCGAACGGGCGCTTGCTCAATGATAGGAGCTCGACCCCGGGATCCATCTCGTGGTCCGAGGGAGTCCCGCCACGTGGAATATCATCCGCCATGTCGAGAATAATCTGAAAATGGCCGGAGGAAGGAAAACCAGGCCGGAATACGAAGAGTCAACCGAAGGGTCAACCCCCGAGAAGGTTGGAAATGGCCGAAAAGGCCGGAATGTGAAAAAGCACGGAAATGAAGAGGAAAGCAAGGGGAACAAACCCCGAAAAGACGGGAACGCCAAACGAGGCGCCGAAACAAAGTTTTGTTCGGTTGAAAATGTCCGAAACGCGAAGAAAATCGCGAATCCGACGACGAAACGGGCGTAGAACGCGAAGAAACGGAGAAACGGGGAAGCAAAAATGCTCTAGAGAGAGAGGGCAAGAGATTTCGGCGGAAGAGGAATGAGAAAATAGGGTTTGGAAACCCTATTTTAAAACACCCGAAGTGAAAAGTCGAAACTGCCCCGAATCAGCAACTTTTTGTCGGTCGGCAATATTTTGTGCTGGCCGGCAGTATTTTGTGCCGATGGACTTTTTCTGCAGCCGGTGGACAGCCGATGGCCTCCCCTCCGGCCGGTGGTGTTCTCACAGCCTTGTTTAGGCCATATGAGAAGTTTTTGGTCTTCATAGCTCGAGAAAGTGCAAGAAAGTGTACCTCCGATGCTCAACCGGCCTCCGTTTTGGAAAGCGCAGTGTATCAGAACAGAGATCACCAGAACAGTGGTTTCCCCCATTAGTGGACAGTCGGATTGAGATCCCCATTGTTGCTGTAGAGATAGATCTGCAAGTAGTTCAGATAGATCAAAACAGTATGGCAGCACCAACAGGAATTGAGGAGATGGTACGTGTAGACACCCCATTTTTTACCGTCCTCAAGACTTGGACGTCACCGTTTGAACACTCGGTGATTATCCGTGTTTGTGTTCGTTTGGAGTTCCCGGAGGTCTCGGCTCGCGCGCCTTGTCTCAAGATCTCCGAACTCGACCGTTTAGTGTCTGGTTTTGCACCAAACACTTATGTTTTGCCTTGGAAAGGCAAGGTAGGGGTTGTGGACCATCCCCACCCACCACCGGCAGGGGCTAGAGGCCACCGACTGGTTTTTGCTGCCACCGGCAATATACGTTGTCGGCCGGCACTGTTTGTTGCCGGTCAGCACTATTTAGTGCCGGCCGGCACTCTTTTTGGCCAAGATGGCATTTTTGGCCAGCCGATTACTGTGCATCTGCTTTTGCAGATATTTTAAGACAGCTGTCTTGCTTTTGCTCCCCTCCATACACGTGTATGGAGGGATCTCCCTCTTATGAAGCTTGTCTTGTAAGCTTTACAAGACAAGAAGTGCCATATAGAGAGTAGACAGCCATTGTTAAGCTCTGGTTTTAGGGTTTGAGTTAGATACACTTCCTATATTTCTTTCCCTCTCTTTTGTGCTCTAGGTGTTTTGTGTCTTACTATTGCACACAAACACCTAGTGTTTCACCTTGCTTTAGCTCTTGAGGTTCTAAGGGACTGGTTTTGAAGTTTTGGTGCTGGATTCAAGCCAAAGGAGGCCATTGGAGCACCATTTGTGAAGGGGTCATCAAGGGTAAGAATTTTCCCCTTTTTTACCCCATTTTTGCACCTTATTTTTACCTGCCTTAAATTCGTTTTTGAGCTTGGTATATAACACAAAAAAGTTCTGTTTTTAGACCCTCTTGGTTGTTTGTTAAGAGTGTTTTGTGGTTTGGGTAAGTTTGAACACCCCTAAGCCTTGAAAGGCCTCATTTTGAGCCATTTTGTGCTAGCTCCGGGATTTTGGTGTTGAGGTCTCTTCACCACTGAAATCTTGAGGGATTTCAGTGGTGAAGGTGATGCCTTGAAGTCTCAAGAAGGAGAGGGCCGCCCCCTCTCCTTGTTGTCCTTGAAAAGGGCATGTTTTGGCCTCTTGAGAGAGCATCATGTTTGAGGGTGTATTGACCATGACTTGGCTGTTTTTTATGCTTAATATGTCATGTTATGCCTTTGTTTTTAATTGGTTTTGGTACTCCATGCATGCTTAGCATAGTTGCCATGTAATGCCTCGTTTATGCCTTAATATGCTTTAGGTTGTTAGCCTTTGTTGGAGCATGTTTTAGGCTTAGTCTTGTGAAGATTATGTGCTTATCTTGACATGTTTTAGGTCTGTCCATAAGTGTTTGGGTCGATTTTGGCATGCTTGGTATAGCTCCTTTGTATTTGGGCTTGTTGGCCTTGAGCATATGAATGTATAGCATGACATCTTTGCATTGATTTGGTGATTTGGGGTCACTATATATGTTATTTCAGTCCCATTTCCATGCTTGTTTGATTGCCTTGCATGCATCTTTGGTGCCTCTTAAGCTTGTGTAGCAATGCTCCATGTTTTGGTGTTTGTGCATGCCTTTGTTTTTGGGTCATTTGGATGTCATCTAAGTGGTCCTTAGGCCTTGTA